ATTATTGAATATAAATGTTGTTGTCGAATATTAAGTGTGGGAAAGTCGCAATAGAGTTTATAAATCGAAAGCCAACAGTTAATTGGGAAAACTCGAACTGGAAAGAGATAGTAAATGACAACGTAATAACCGAACTGAAAAATGCTGAATCGGGTTAATAATGAAAACGAATTATTTCAAATGTAGCTGTTCCTACTCATAAATACAGTCAATAAATACTTTTGATAGTTTGGAAAATATACGAGTAATTAAGGTATTCCTTTCTATTTTTACCCATTCGTCTCTTGTTGCAAAGTAGTAAACCACGACCTCAAAAAATTCCTGGTCTTCAAATAAACTCTGAGGGATAAGTATGTTTTAAAAATAAACCTTTGAATCAAGGAAATATGGTTGTTTCGAAATACTTTTATTAATTTATAAACTGATATTAAAAGTTTAAACTGAATAACTCACTAGCTTATGTAGGTATGTAGTCACATCTTTTTAAAACCTTCTAAAATCCCGCTACTATTATTTTAAATATAGAATATAGTATACAAATATTAGTCGGAAATTCTGGTTATGTCGACTATTTTTGTCATACAGACTATACCTCCAAAACTAACGACAGTGACGTCACTGCTTGTTGCTTGTTGTAGATAGCAGTGTAAAAAAATTGTAAAATAGCTACGAGATAAAATATCAGAGTGCTCATGCCGTAGATTTCAGCCCTCCCATTGTGAAGCTAAAGGAAACATAACCCGCCATTTTGTACGTTGGCAGAAAGTCGTTGCTACACAGCCTACTATCAACAAATGGGAAAATTTAAATCAAGTTTTCTTAAAATGCCGATATCATGTGCTGCATATAATTGCACGAACAGTTTTAAAATAAGTTCTGAAATTATATTTCAAAGAGTGAATTCAAACCAAATTTTAGGTACAATAATAAAATACTGACTGTTATTCAAGATTTTAGTTTTCATTCCGTTTATAGCATGAGTTCCCAACCTATGGGTCGCGATCCAGAAGGGGGTCGCGACGGACTTTCTGTGGGGTCGCCAACTTATACAGTTAACTAAAAATGTTCATTATAATGCAATTTTTACTTTTAATGGTGTCTTGAAGTTTGAATAATTTCATATATTTTTTAAAAATTAAATTTAGTGACAGTCTATGAATGTTTTCTTAATCGGGTCAATATGATAATTAAAAATTATCTACTTTATATTATTAGGCCTACCTTTTCAATCTTTAATAATCAA